CACACACACACACACACACACACACACACACACACACACACACACACACACACACGCACACACACAAAAACACACATCAAAATGCACTTACTTCTGGAGAGGGCTACGCTTGGGAGAGTGATAAGAGCATCTCCCTTAAGTGGTCCCTCCCGTGAAGGCTCCGTCTATTTGTAGGGATCTGCACCTACTGGAAGCCGGGTCCAGCATCCATCTTGTATTACAGAAAAGCGTTGAAATTGAAATTGCTGGAAACGGCGTCCACCGTCCCACTTATTGCACCGTTACAGGCCTTCGCACTGCTGAAGGGCCCAGTTGTTCCTGCTATGATCATTGCTGTATTCCTCCTTACTCCACTTCCAGTACCGCTGTTAACTTTGAAACCCTTCCTTCCCCAGAGGTCGCGGTGAGGTTCTGTTGTTCGGAAGGTCCAGCCCCCACTGTTATGGAGTTCCTATGTCCTCCTGTCCTTTCCTTTTCCAGCGAAGGGTAGTTGAGGGGGAACATGGTTGTCGGGTCTCAGTTCCTGTTTTGAGCAGGCCTCCTTGTTGTGGGGGGGCTGCACCTGCTGGAAACTGGGTGCAGCGTCCCAAAAACATATGCGTGGTCCGAAGATTTGAATTTGGAAAGTCTGGGAGTAAACTCTAAATCTGATTAATGGAATGATAGTATTATTATGATACTAATGAATGGAGTCTTTTTAACTGGAGAGGGTTAAAACTTAAAAGAAATGGATTTAAAAAAGAATCAATTGGCGAGGCTTAAAAGTTAAAAGTTAAGACCTTTATTTATTGTTTTTTGAAAAACATAATTGCTACCTAGTACCTACCTAGGCTACCAGAGTGGCCCGGGGTCACTTGCCCGGCCAAGCCAAAAAAATAAAAATAAAATAAATATTATTTTTTATTCTAAATTTGGTGAAGAATTTCGATGTAACCCTGAGGCAAAAGTTGTTTAGTTTATTTTTCTGCATAACATACTTTTTTTCAGTTTTTATTTTTTATTATTTTTATTATTATTATTATTTTTTTTGCTGGGACCTTCCCTGGTCCTTGCACGGGCTGGCCACCCAGGACCCGGGCGGCCCGGCTGGTAGCCTAGGTACCTACATTAATTTTTTCAATTTTTGAGTCCCAATTATACCAAGGAAATGACAACAAAGCTTAACACTTGGAACTCGTTAGGAGGGAGCTCTTACCACCTCCTCAAGTGATCTCTTCCACTGAAAATTTAGGGCTCTGTTAACCATCATCTCTCCTGCATGAGAAGTTCCCCTGGTGCCCAACGCAAATTACATCATCAGTTCAATTTCCGGAAAAAAAAAAAAAAAAAAAAAAAAGAGAAGTTGCCCTGATGCATTCTGACTGGTGTGGACCGAATCCAGGCTCAGTGTAACCATGTCCGATAGACAGACGACAAGCTGTGGTATGAAAACACCATCCTTTTTTTTTGTAGAACATAGCTGTAAGCCTATAACCACGGGGGCCGAGTCCCACTAGCAGCGTTGAGCTACCTCAACGCCTGAATCTGGACGTGTTTGTGGAGACGTGCAGTTCAGGAAACTCAACGCCATTTCTGCACATCTCCGCAAAAGCGTCCAGATTCAGGCGTTGAGGTAGCTCAATGCTGCTAGTGGGACTTGGCCCCGGGGATGTAGAGTTACACCACACGGAAGTTTTCTTTCTTCCACACAAACGTTTACAGTCATATGACATGGGGAAAAAAAAGGGAAAAAAAGACCGGGGGCCAAGTCCCACTAGCAGAGTTGAGTTTCGTCAACACCCGAATCTGGATGTGTTTGTGGAGATGTGCGGTTGAGAAAACTCAATGTGTTTTTTTCTGCAGATCTCCACAATCACGTCCAGATTCAGGCTTCGAGGAACCTCAACGCTGCGACTGGGACTTGGCCCCAGATGCCAGATGCGAAAGAAAAAGAAAAAGAAGAAAGGAGGACCAGATGCATGCAGAGTCCAGGTCCCCCTCGTTCAGATTCTTAATTTCTGACCATCGATTTTCAAGATCAATGGCCAACAGGTAATCCCTGTCTCTTATACACATCTAGATGTGTATAAGAGACAGCCTCAACGCTGCGACTGGGACTTGGCCCCAGATGCCAGATGCGAAAGAAAAAGAAAAAGAAGAAAGGAGGACCAGATGCATGCAGAGTCCAGGTCCCCCTCGTTCAGATTCTTAATTTCTGACCATCGATTTTCAAGATCAATGGCCAACAGGTAATCCTCCCTTGATAAGGAGTCGTCAACCCCTAGCGGCATGTTTTTTTTTTTTTTTTGGGGTTATAATATCACTCTTATTATCCGCAGGAATGTGTGGCGTAGCCATGTGTTGTAGATAATCTATTGTTGTCCTCTTCCCGGCAGTTCTCTATGACTGATATATACATATATACATATGTATATATACTGATGAGTCGGTGAAACACCGACGAAACAGTTTGTCACAGCCCGTCGTTTGTTGTCCTCTTCTCCCTCTCTGCCTAGGGGGTGTGTGTGTGCATATACGTATTAGGAATGGTGGACCCAGTGTCTAGCAGGTGATGGCACCCACCAAAGAAAAGAAATAAAGGGAAAAAAACAAAAAAAACATGGTCAGAGATGAAGTATCAAGTGGGCCCTTTCCTCAGGACGTGTCCATGTTCCCCCTTGACTGGAAACAACGTCAAGGGTCTCACGAACAACTCAATCCTTCTCCGCGTAAGGTCCTATGGTTGTTATTTCTGTACCTAGACTGAAAGTTGCTGTAATGACCGTGCGTTTATTTCTGCATCTAGACTGAAAGTCACGGTTGCTATAATGACTGTACGTTTATGTTCTGTATCTAGACTGAAAGTTGCTATAATGACCATACGTTTATTGGATGGAAGACGGTAGCAAAGGTTTGTGTGGCAGTCGAATGTCACAGATCGGACGATGTGTGATACCACGGTCAGCCATTTTTCACTGATTAAACCGCAACGTTGGGGCAGAATCTGCCTTTGTTGGTGCGGTGTTTGGGTGTGGCTGCTGGTTCTTCAGTCCAGTGTAGATCGAAATGGTGTGTATGAAGCCCACATAATGACGTGAGCGGTCATTATGTGGCGTTCTCGCTGGTGTCAAGGTGTCTGCAGGTGTTGCCCTTATTTCCGGCAAACCTTTCCCATAGATATATCGGCCGCGAGCAGAAAAAAAACTTTTTTTTTTTTTTTGAGAAGTTGTGGCTTTTTTTTAGCAGAAAAAAAACCTTAAAAAAGGCTCAAAATGGAAAACGGGCCGCCGATGAAATTTATCAAGCGTCGCCCGATCCCGCTTGGCTTCCTTTTAACCCGGCGCAGAATTGATTTTTAAGCGGGGAAAGGTACTGGTGGCTTAAGTCTGCGAGGGGGGTGGGGGGAAACACGATAACCGAGAGCTCAGTACCTGGCTCAATAACAGTGGTGCCAAACGAAAGAAACAAAAAAAGTACACTTGACACTTGTGATGCTTGTTCAAAGAGAGCTCCTTTTGCCAGAATCAGGGGCGAGGTTCCACTTGTGCAGATTAGCAGATACTGGCCATAGATAATAAAGATCAACAGCCTATATCTCTTGATCCATGCTAGTGGGCCCTCACCCCCCCTGGCCACACCTATGGGCGTATGCCCGATCTTTTTCACAGGCACAATAGGACTCCACATACGCTAGGGTAGGACAGGGGGGGAGTAGGGGTGCGCCAGGGCAATTCATGAGAGGAAGGGTGGGTGGGGTCTTCTGAGGGGTCCATCGAGATAACCGAATGCCCGATTACAGAGGGTGACTGGCATATGTCTACTATTATTCAACCTCTACAACAACCTCTGGACTACTCCGGCCGTCCTGTCCAGATTTGACAGGTAATTGAATTGGTTGGGCTTAAAGAATTAGCCTTTGAGGATTTCTTCTGACCAAGTTCAATGTGAGCCTCAATCTCTTTTTTTTTTTTTTTTTTTTTTTTGGGACAGCCTCAATTTTTTTTTTTTTYTTTTTTTTTTTAACATGATCATTTCATTATAAATTGGAACAACCGAGGCCAGGGACCTCACAATTCAACCCGGGACCAAGTCCCACTTGCAGCGGTTTAGTTCCCATAGCCAGTACTGCACGAAACTGTGTGACTTCGTGTGGCAACGTGCGGCTGTTTGGCAATGTGCGGCTGGTTG